GTTTTGTAAAGACCTATTTATCCCTCCCTTCCGTGCACCAATGGAGGTTTATTAGATCGTGTGGCAGCCTGCCATCTTCCTTATTAACCAAGCTTTTTCCCAAATAAACATGTTCCTTGTGTGCATGTCTCCTATTTGTGATTTACTTCCCATTATAAAGCTACAATCTACAATATTAAAAATAATACACAGACAGATGTTTATGAGAGGTTGAACAGGGTTTTATTGTACTGACTCTGGTATTTGTGGTTTATATTTCTTTAATCTCTAGCAAAGTATGCTTCTTCCTACCCTCTCCAATTTACTGCTTCTGTCTCTTATTATCCTTTTAACAGGTGATGATGCCCTTTAAACATATTTTCTTTTAGGCTCTTACATGCTGCAGTATGAACAGGAGTAAGAAGAAATATGATGACATACTTAAAATGGAGTCCTTATGTAAGAAATTAGAAATTAGACCTTTATTCTGGAGATCTAGATCCACCCGGAGGCAAAGAGATTTTCACCTTCCACTTATATGACTTCAGTAGGGTATTTGATCACCCTCTGCTGGTCGTGCTGCCCGGGCTGCTGCCAGTCCATTGGATTTTGGGAGAGTGCCTTTACGCTTCGGTTAAGTCCCAGACATCACTTAGGATTTCATTTTGTGCATTCAAGCACGTTACTACAGTTTAGTCACAACAGTTTGAAATCACTGGCTGCATATATAGTTTTTTATTTTTTATTTGAATGGATGGAACAGAATTCTGCCCCTGGGTCAGATAATCATCTCAGACCCATTAAATAAGTAGCTGTGACATGCATCATAACAGTGGCCTAAACCACCATATTTTTTCAATATGACACTTTGTTGCTTTTTTTTCTTGGCCTGTGGTTGGACTTGCATTAGAAAAACAAACAGCACTTAGCTATAATTAAAAATGCCCTACGGTAAGTGGAATGACAAAACAATGGGAATGCTGTTCATATGGATGAAGTCAAGTGTAAATGAAGTCTGAAAGAATTAAGTTGAATGCAAGTATAAAATTATCTTGTTGGCTAGGCACAGAAAGTGTAAAATAAGCCTACCCAACACATCAGATCTTGCATTTCACAATAAAAAAATCTGATCAGGGGAGTTTTCTGTATCATGATGCAGACCCATCTTTAGCTGTTCAACAGAAACATAACCTTCAATTACTATTTGAAACTATTTGAAATGAAGTCATATTAATTAGTAATTGTATTTAATTATACATACAAGCATGCTACACACAAGCATGAAGTTTCTAAAAAATAGGAAATGTTCATAATAGTATTCTTAGCATTCCTTTTTTTTTTTCAGGGTAGTCTAGTTCTACCTGGAAGTATGTTTATTAAAACTTTATGTTGAAGAATCACTATATCATAAAGATAAATTTTTAAATTATGCTCCAGACATAATTATGAACATAATTATAAGAAGGGTTGATTTTTTCAACCTCCAGTAGCTGTCATCATGCTTCAGGTTTAGCTCTAGTCAGAGTCTTGCTGACCAACCGACTGATGTTTCAGTAATTGCCACTTGAAAATGAAAAGGGAAACTGTCTAGCTTTGAAACATTATTCATGAAAGAAGGATCATGCTGGCTTGTTTTCAGAACAGGAGCTTTTACCCCTGTTCTTGTCTAGACAGGCCAAGTACAAGACTTTGTACTGAAAAGGGCTCTCTGGTGTGTCATTAGGCATATTGGTCTAGTGTGGACTGGTCTGGATTTCCCTGTTGGGGTGTTTTGAGGTCACTCCTTGTATTTTGGTACAGACCTCTGCAGGTTTATTTCAGTTTGATGAAACTCTAATATTTGCTTTCTACTATCTCTGTCAAGCTGCATTACAAGGAAGGGTTCTTTTCTGGTTTTAGTAAAAGCAAACACTGTTTAAATGCATTTACTGTGCAAACTAATTTAAGGCACTGAATTTTGTTTACAAGTTACAAATACCAGATCCTAAGTATATTTCGTGTTCAGAAGTATCTGTATATTCATTGAATAATCTGTTTAATTAATTTGTCCCATTTCTACAATACATTTTTCCTTTGAATATTTCCTTCAGACTTCAACAGAATGTGATTATGCAGGCTAAGTTTTGCACTTTTGTGCCCTCCATTAGATATTAAATTTTTTTAGATATAGAAGTTATTTTTGCACATGCATGTGTGAGGAAAAAAAAAGGAAGTCTCAGCACTGTGCAGGCACTGCTCAGCAATAGCCAAAGCACTGTGTGTTATCGACAGTGTTTTGATCACAAATCCAAACTGCCACCATAGAGGCTGCTGTTACGAAGAAAGTGAACTCCATCCCAGCCAGGCCAATAGAGGATGACTGCTTCCTTGGCAAATAGATTTGGTGGGAGATCACAAGGCAATGTGATTTTTGACAACATATCCCATTTTAAAATCAACACACTATTCCCACGGTACCACAAGCAACCTTCCAGTCAATGTGGGCACATCAAATGAGGACAAGAGGCCCAATGACTCTTTTTTTTTTATGCACCTTGACAGTGGCAATTTTCACATATCTGAGGGAAGAAGGAAGTAGCTATAACATTTCACAAGAAAAGTTGATTGAGTCTGTTTTTTGAATCCAAGTTTCAATGTGATGTGTTATCTATGACAAAACCAAAAAACTCCGAACCAACACATCTTACAGCATGAATTCTTTCCTCTGGTCAGTCCTCTTATGGTAGTGTTAGTTAAAACCCAGAACTTTACGACTTTAATAATGCTACTAAAACTGTAATGCTTTAGTCTTTTGTCTGAAAACTGTATAATCTGGTGGCAAACAGAAACCTAGCGTTCTTAGCTGTGATTGCTTTTGAGTTTACATCTTGCTTGAGCATTTGCTGTCAGCCATGGGGGAAGCATGGAAAGTGTTACATTAGGACTCAACACAAAGGCACTGGAAAGCATTAAGTAGTGTAGCCAAAGTAGCATGCCAAATATTCTAACTTCAAGCAATATGGTGTTTGACATTTGTCTTTCAAATAGAAGCATTATGTTCTTTACCACTCTGATTTCATCCTGTGCTATATTCCTTTTCTTGTTCCACTTTCTTAATAGAATTGCAGAAACAAGTCCTAAAACATTGTAATTATCGTATTGCTAATATTGAGGCTGGTCTTTTAAGTCTCCTTTCGAAAACTAACTGTTAATGACCCTCTTAGTTCCTTAGGTTTCAAAGGCTTACTTCATTTGGTTATGAATTTTTTTTTTTATAGTCTATACTCAAAACATAAAATCTAAGCCCTTCAATGCCTCTTCAGTTCTGTGTTGTAGCAGGGAAGGACAGGGCAACAAAAGAATTGGGTAAAATACTTTGTTTCTACAGTATTTTATTCTACAATTTTAATAGTTCAGGTACTACAGGGTTACATTGAAAAAGCTTAAAGTTGAGGAGCTTATTTAGACAAATACTCACTAATTTTGTAAGTGCAATTTGACCAAGTGAAAAAGAAAAATAGAATTGTAGGTTTTTTCCCCCACAGGAAATGCTTGTTTTCCTTGCGTAGCATTTTATGCCTTTTATTTATATTCCTAAGTAGCATTTTATATGTTACAATGTTGATGCATACATTTTTTGTTGCAGCGGGTTCTTGCTGATATGTGTACAAAAATGTCATTAATATTCTTGAAAAGTGTTCAGAGTGAAGTTTGCAAATCACTTTTATCTACAAAAGAAATTTGCTAAGAAAAAATAATTTTTTGCCTTTCTCAAGTTTTTTTCTCTCCTTTGTTATTACCCTGCTTGTGTTACACAACAGATTCATGTGAGTAAGTATCACACCACAGTAACTGGTTTAGGGGCTTTTTCGAATTGGAGGTCCTGTCATATCAGTTCAGAGTAAGTGCAACTGCTGTTAAGATTAGAGGAAAGTCTCTTGCTGATCTCGTTGAAGATTAACAAATGCTGTCTCTTTGCTGGGAAGAAGCAGAAAATCATCTTTCTGAAGCAGAACCAGCCAACCCAAACTGCAGCCTTAGGGAAGCCCAGGGTTCAGGGAACAGTGCTACTTTAATAAACTGCTTGTGAGTGTTTCTGTTTGTTTTGCTTCTGCTTGTGAATGACAATCACCAGAATTTGTCAACATGCTGGTAATGTAATCATTAAATTATAATTTGTCTAGATGTAATGTGTCCTCTGTTCTATATGTGTAGTGTATTTAACTTTGGAACAAGCCTAGTGAGAAAGCTTTTTATGATTGCATTTATATTTTTGTGAACATTTCTTAATTGCAACCTCAATATTTACTATGAAGTGTACTTTGTGTCATTGGAATTGTTCTCATGATAGAATCATAGTTAGGGGAAACCGTTCTCTTTTTTTGGTAATGAAAAAAATGTGAAAACTGTATCATTTCTGCGTATAGCATTCACTTTATAGGGATTCAGAAGTTTATTAATTTTGTAAAGAACACTAGCATGTGGGAGTTCAATGTGCAAACATCAAGCACTTGATTGCAATTAGCTGGGAGACTGGCAAATTGTCTTTGGGAGGGTAGTTAGGGACTAATTGTGTCCAGACAGGATTGGTCCTGGTTACAAACTGTTGCTTTACAGCTGAAGCAAGACTTTTTTTAATGTGAGGCAGTTATTATTTTTATTCATAGTGCTGTCTTTCCCCAAATATGCAAGGTGCCACACAAACATGTATGAGAACATGGTTTGTGTCCAAAGTGAACTGTAATCAACATGAACTATAAAAAATATTGCTTATTTTTAAAACAGTTGAATTTTCCCAAATGGCAAATCTGGTTTACTAGTGGATTGATTCTGCTGATCAGGAATGTGTCACATGTATATTTATACATGCAGTACTATAAATACGATATGGTTTATTTTGGTGCTGAAGTGCCAAAGACCCATCCGCTATTACAGCACTTACTTGAAATATATAATCTTTAGTATCAGTCGTTCTAGCACTGAAGAAGGGTAGGCATCAATTTTCTCATACTTTTTTTTTTGGTTTCTTTTTTGCCTTTCAGAGTGCAAATTCACCTGCGCCAGTGGTAAATGCTTGTATCTTGGTTCATTGATTTGTAACCAACAGAATGACTGTGGGGATAACAGTGATGAAGAGAACTGCCTGCTTGTAACAGAGCATCCACCTCCAGGCATCTTTAGCTGTAAGTACTGGCTCTTTGTGTGCATCCGTGTATGTATGTACATACAAGTCTGTTTGGAAACTTGGTCTGCAGTATGATATCAAGGGAGAGTGAGACAGAGAAAGTAAATTCTGTTTTTCTCTGCACTTTCTCTAGGTTTCTAAACATGGAAATTTGTACCTATGCAAAGGGAGTTTGTGTTGCAGACACTGAGGTTATAATCATGTGGATCATATGTGGCCTCTGAGAAAGACAGTGTAATTAAATAATTTGTTTTCCAAAGTTCTAAAAAATATTTTCTGCTTTGTCTGTGTAACAGTCTTTATGTGCTACTAAGACTATTAAGAAAGTTGTAATCTTTTCAGTCATCATTCCTATTGATCAAATGCATTTCATTGGTGCTGAGATCAGCATCATTTGGTAGGTCACTGACCTTTTGTAGGTATATATTTTATATATTTAAAATAGCTTTAGTTGCTATTCTTTAGTGCATAAATATTGCACACAAAGTGCTAGAGTTTGTCACCAGAATTGCTTTTTTAATGCTTTGCCCTCAGTGATGTACATTGAATTCAAACTTTGATTTTTGCTTTTGTTTGTTCAGCAATAATTTATTTTCAAACCACATTTCCGCTTTCTGGATGGGGGGTAAATTTTCCAGTAATGTTTCTGATGTACAACAGAAGTGATGTTGTGTTACTATTACTTTCCAAATGGTTTGGTTCTGCCAATACTGACATCCCTCAGCATGCTACTTCACTTCTGGTTGTGACTATGGCTTAGGAATATCTGTGTTGTTATTAAAAATAGGAATTGTCAGCAGCATATATCTGTAATTTTTGTAATGAATGCATGGGCCTATAAGCAGGATAAAATCACTGTAGCGGATTCATAATAGAAAGTCAAATCAAGTGTTGAATATATGCTTTTCTTCCTCTGCCTTCTAACCTCCAAATGAACATGTTCCTAAATGTACTCTAAATTCTTTTAAGTGTTTTTATACTTTGTGGTGCTTTGGTACCTCTGCAGTGATTTTAGTGGCTTTGAAATAAAAATGACCTATATATTCTTTTCTGCTATTTCATTTTATTTTTTTTAATTTGTTTGGGTTTTAATGGAACTCTCTCCAAAGCCCCAGGACAAGTTGATGATGGGTCCAGACCAAAATGTCATGTATTTGCCTATAACCTTGGCTTTTGAGTTGTAAAAAAGTTATACCTTATTATTTCTTCATGCAAAACTTGCAAGCATATCTTTAAAGTTCATATAGATGAATTTTTTTTTACTAGGATACTGTACAGCTCTTCTCTTAAACCAAGCCAGCACAACCATTTGTCCAAAAAGGGCCATGAAAATCACAGTGGTAGCAGGTGGAGGGAAGGGCTTTGGTGACAAGCGGCAGCTGGGGCATCGCAGATGGTGGCCCTGCACAGCTGCAGTGTGACGGTGGCACCCTGTTTGTTCCCAGGTGGAACTCCTAGCTGGAACTTTCCCAAACCTTCTTAATCATGGGGTCTCATAACCTAGACACCAGTGGTTTTTCAGGACCCCTCTGTGTTGGTGGCTGTCATGCAGTAATCACAGCAGCGTGATCCAGGATCTGCAAACTTCCTGGTCTTCCCCTAAGTCACATCTGTCCCCTCAGGCATTGCTGTAGCTCCCAAACAGGCATGTTTGTGCCTGAAGACAGGCATGCCTGAAAGGGAGCAGTGCCGGTCAGCTGGCTAGTCATCCCCTCCCCTCCAGCAACAAAGTTTATCTGGACCAAGCCGAACTAAACGTGTCTCTGAAAAACCTTCAGCAGCAGCTTTCCTATTGCTTTCAGTGCAGTTGGTGTGTTCCATGATCCTGTCTCTGTAAAGTCATGCAAGTCAAGGTGGCAGCATTTTTCTTAGTTTTCAGTGGACTTGGAGAAAAATAGCTTCCTACTCAAATCAGCCTTTTACAGATGTGAGGACTCTTACCACTCATCTGTTAGTTACCCTCTGTGAGAGTTAAAAAAAAAAGCCAAAAAACCCCAAACCCCAAAGTTCCTTTGTATTGTTTCCTTAAATCTGTTGTATTCGTTCATTTTCTGATTCTTTCTAAAATATGATGTCCAGTAGTCCTGCTATTTGAGACCTCCCAAGTACTGAGCGAAGAGGAATAATTAGGTAAACAGTCTTATTAAGTCCTTCAAGAACTGCGTTTGCTGGTTTTGCAACAGCGTTGCAAATGAGGAGTTTGTAGAGGAAATATCTGATGCATTGCTAGGAGCATTTGGAAGTGTTTAACTTTTTGCTTACTTTGTAGCAGAGAAAGAAATTAATTATTTGTTGCATTTGGGGATATTGACAGTGTCTGTACTTTTTCATTGCAATAAGGGCTGTGTGACAATGGTGAAACAAAGAGAAAAAAGATTGAAGCCAGATGGAAAAATAATACAACCATAAACAGTATTTAAGTTATATTTATCATGTTTTGGCTGTTAAACAGACTACTACATGGTAGAAACCAGTGCCACTCAGTAATAGGAAAGAACATTATTATGGACATGTCAGTTGGCTGTGATGGCTTGTTCCAGCTTTGAAAAAATGTTTTTAGAATACTTGCTGAAGTGAGGTCCCCAGGCCTTAGAGGGATGACATGTTGAATTAAGAAATGTGTGCATGCTTTTGCTCAATGATTTTAATGGGGATCCCTACCAGAGTACACCCGAGTGTATGCTCTTGAAATGTCCCAGCTGAGGAGGCTACCTCTCAACATAAAACTACATACATTCATTGGCCTCTGATTAGTAAAAGGACAGTAATACAGCTCAATAAGAAGAAAATGAGTGTTAAAAAAAAAAAATCACTTGAATCTCAAACCAAGAATTTCTTTCTGATCAGTGTTGTATATCAACTCTGTTCTTGCATCTTCTTGCTTGTGTGCAGTTCTTAAATGGGAAGGAAACTATTGAAAGGAGCCACTTTTAAGTTTGTACCGGTCTACGTCCAAGCAGCGTGGCCTCTTTCTCTCATGAACTGCCCTTGCCTTTACCTACAACATGTTTTCACTACGGTGGTATGCCTTCCCCTCAGCTGTTTCTTCAAAGAATCCCTTTCTCATGCTGTATTCAAACCTTCTATCCTCCTGTGGTGGAAAAAATTTTCATCTCATTTCACAGTTATGCACAGAGTGCCCCCAAACAATGTCTAGATAAATAAATTTTCATATGAAAATTCTGCTTTAGTTTATTTAAGCAATATGTGCCCTGTTAGCAGTAGCCCATATTTCCCCGCTACTGAAGCATTTCTCATTTGTGTTCTTGCCAGCAGCCAAATCCAGAATGTCTTCTTGGAGCTTTTTGTTTAGTTTAGTTAAGTTGCATGAGCAATGGTATAGAAAGATAATTTTTTGTGGGTGATCTGCTTTCTGGATCTCATGATTATAGGAGTTACTATCTTACTGTGTTGGAGAAGTTTAGATCCCCTAGACCTAGTGTTCCTCTCTCCTCACCATTCTTATATATATTCACTGTGATAACTGTTAATTCCATCTTTTAAACAACAGAATGGTTGAGGTTGGAAGAGACCCTAAAAGATCATCTAGTTCCAACACCCTAATCATGGTAGAGACACCTTCTACTGAAACAGGTTGCTTAAAGCTCCATCTAACCTAGCCTTGAACACTTCCAGGGATGGGGCACCCACACTTTCTCTGGGCAAGCTGTTCCAGTGTCTCCCTGCTCTTGCAGTAAAGAATTTCTTCCTAATATGCAATCTAAACTTCCTCTCTTTCAGGCCATTACCCCTTGTCCTATCACTACATGCCCTTGTAAAAATATTGCTACTGAACTCAATGTCTCACGTGTGCACAGTAAAATAAAACGTGTATTTCTGCAGCCCTTTTGTTTTATTAATTTTGCTTTGCTGACTTGTACATAGGGCTTCCTTATGCTGCTGCGTGGACAATTTATTCTGTATAGCACAGAGAAATCAGAGGGCAGCTGAAGGAAATCTGTACCACATCTGAGGTGTGTTAGTCTGATTTTAGATGACACAAGCTTCAGTCCAGCAAGTTGGTCAAAATACATGCTAAGGCATTTAAGCTGAACATGTTAAGGTAACAGCTTGCCTGGTATATGTTGGGACTCAGGTTTGGTGATGCACGTTGAAGCATGCCTCCCCTCCTCAGTGAGGACACCCCAGTGTTATCGCACCTTTCCTTGCAGGTCGCTTTCTGCATAGCCCATGTCAGCTTTCAGTAGGGGCTACTTGTTTTTATTTTCATCAGCTATAAAGACTTATTGATTGAGATAATGGAGATGACTGTTCTTTTAACACTACTTGGAGGTCAAGGGTGTACTAAGCAACACAAAGGGATGATAGGAAAAGTGAGGTGAAGAGTGGAATTCTAAACATTGCAGACTTGGCCCTGGCGGCAGCTTGCTGCTCCATGTGACCTGCAAAATTTGGACTCCCAAGAACTGAAACAATGTGGCTGCTTCTAGCAGGACACAGTTCGTTTGTTTGAGCATTTCCCTTTGTTTCACAACAAATGATCAGCCTGCCTTGTCCTGCTAAAAGTAAATTAGATTTTGAAATGGGAAGCGTAGTCTGTTGTCTGCAGACTGCAGTGTCCAAGTCATGTCTCATTGAGAAGGGTTGTGATGGTGGAGATTTTAGTTTATATAATTGTTTGGTAGAAACAGTACAGGTAGTTATCTTTGCTGTGATCAGTACGTGTTTGTGGGCATATCAAACACAAATATTGACAGGCATGAGAATTTACAGGAGAGTGAAATAAGTGAGAATGAATCCTTCTTGTCATGTGCAAATTATGTCTACATCAAATTTCAAGTTGTCAACATTGATGGAGGTGATGTGTCATGGCTGTTTTGGCATAGAAGAGTTTGCTGTAGGAGTTCATTTTCCTCTGCAAGGTAAAAAAACCCAAACAAATCAAATATATAGCTCTCCCTTTCACCACCCCCACCTACTGCTGTCAGCTCTGAGCCTTGTAGGGATCTGCAGGGGGTTGGAGAATGATTCTGTTTT